CATGTTACTATTATCAGTGTGGCTCTGTTAGCATTGTGGTTTTGTTAAAAGTGTGGTTCTGTTCTGTTAGCAGTGTGGTTCTGTTAGCAGCATGGTATTGTTAGCAGTGTGGTGCTGTTAGCATTGTGGTTCTGTTAAAAGTGTGGTTCTGTTAGCAGCATGGTACTGTTAGCAGTGTGGTTCTTTTAGAAGTGTGGTTCTGTTAGCAGCATGTTACTGTTAGCAGTGTGGTTCTTTTAGCAGCAAGGTACTGTTAGCAGTGTAGTTCTGTTAGCAGCATGGTATTGTTAGCCGTGCGGTTCTTTTAGCAGCATGGTTCTGTTAGAAGTGTGGTTCTGTTTGTTTTTTTCCTCCATTGTCCTGTCTGTCATTGTGACACTTAGAATTATTGTCCGAGTGTCAAAGTGATGCCCAACAGATTTACTTTCACAAGCAGAGCATCATGGCTGGCCTTAATGCTCCACATATAAAAAATAAATTTCATTAGAATTTGCTATGGGCTTGTTTCAGATATAATGGACATGGGGATGAAAAACAAAGAAGATAACAAAACAGAAAAGTGAGAGAATGGTTAATAGGTAAAGAAGGAGACAGGAATAGAGCAGAGAGAGAGAGAGAGGGATTAAGAGAACACAAATCAACATCATTGAAGTCTGACTCTAGACCTGCGGAAAAAAAAGACAAGACAAAACCGAGAAACCACAACAACAAACAACATATATAATGATATTTATAACATCATTAGAAAGTATTTTATACAGTACATGGTAATTCAAGATATATTTAGTGACCACCACAACCCAACTGAGTGTGTATCTGATGAACACCTGGATCTAATCACCTGTGTGAGCATGATGTCACTTTAAGGTTTCTCCATAAAAATGTTCAATAGTGGATGTGGGGACCCACAGACCCATCCCCACAGGGCATGATGGTAACGCAGGGAAGACCGGAACCACAGACACACAGCGCCCCCCAAGCCCGTAACTCCAGGAGTCCCCCAACAGGGACACCCGCACCCCCCAGACAGAGAAGCAAAGGGAAGCCCTGGGCGATCCCCAGCAACCACAATGCAGAAACCCCAGGAGGCTGAAGTGACGAGTCCACAGGCCCCACCGGCAACCCGCCCCTCCAGAGTAGATCCGGCCATGGACATCGAGCCCCTAGTCCCAAGGTCATACCACCCCCCAACAGAGGCCCGACAGAGCCAGGGCACCCAGGCCCCGGCAGGCAGCCACCAGGGCGGGCCCGCACACACCCCACCACCCAGCCCCAGCTGCTGAGAGCTGCCAATACACTGACGGCAGGGTGGCCCACCACCGGAGGGGAGCACAACACACCAGGGGGTGGGGGAATTGATCCAAGAGAGATGACCACCCAAAACCCAACCTGAGACATAAACTGGCACACAGAGACAGCCCGATGGAGCCTCCGTCGGGCAGAAGTGTGGTTCTGTTAGCAGCATGGTATTGTTAGCAGTGTGGTTCTGTTAGCAGCATGGTATTGTTAGCAGTGTGGTATTGTTAGTAGCATGGTACTGTTAGCAGTGTGGTTCTGTTAGCAGCATGGTATTGTTAGTAGCATGGTACTGTTAGCAGTGTGGTTCTGTTAGTAGCATGGTATTGTTAGTGGCATGGTACTGTTAGCAGTGTGGTTCTGTTAGTAGCATGGTATTGTTAGTGGCATGGTACTGTTAGCAGTGTGGTTCTGTTTGCAGCATGGTATTGTTAGCAGTGTGGTTCTGTTAGTAGCATGGTACTGTTAGCAGTGTGGTTCTGTTAGCAGCATGGTATTGTTAGCCGTGTGGTTCTGTTAGCAGCATGCTATTGTTAGCCGTGTGGTTCTGTTAGCTGTGTGGTTCTGTTAGCAGTGTGGTTCTGTTAGCAGCATGGTACTGTTAGCAGTGTGGTTCTTTTAGAAGTGTGGTTCTGTTAGCAGTGTGGTTCTGTTAGTAAGGTGGTACTCCCTTAACAAAAAGTAGTACATTTGAAGTTTATTTTTGCAAGTATACTTTAAGTTAAGTATAAGTATATCAAGTATACTACACACCATACTTGTAGTGTACTAGACGTATACTGATTTAATATTTGTTTGGACTAAATTGGGACATTTTTATACTATTTTTAAGTATATCAAATAAAGTTTATAAAAGGTAAACTTCAAGTACACTTTCTCATTTTTAGTGTAAAATAAGTACACCCACTGAGCAAGGAGACGTCTAAATGACGTCTTTTTTGCACGTCTAATTTGGGTCCCTCCTAGGTGCAGACTGTTACGACAGACAACGTCTTTTTCCAACGTCCACTGGACGGTCAATATAGACATATTTTCTACATGAAAATTTAACTTGTTTTTTTCACTTCAGATAATAATATAATTAGTAAGTGCTTCGTGTTGTCTTCACTGTATTTTCCCCATGCAGTGTTTAACACATTCACCCTCAGATGGATGTTGGAATGACTGGGGATCGATCCCAGGACCTTCGGGTTTAAGGCCAGCTGCTCTGCTGCTGCGCCATCTCTGTGCAGAAAACAAAGCTAAAGAAACAGTATATTTGACCATCTATTGTGCAACAGGAAACCACGCACTACAGATACCAGGTTTACAATTAAATCATCACTCCTTAAATGTCACTAGAAACAGATGGACTAAGTTTTACAAATAAATCACTCCTTAAATTTTCCTTTATCCTCTTTACTGGATTAACAGAAATAGCTTCGAGAGAAAATAGCAACAGTTGGTTTATGAATGAAGCCGTGCAAATTTATAATCATAAAAGAGTAACTGTGCACCGTTACTCTTTTATGATTATAATTTATGATTGTAAATTTTATGGTTATAAAAATTATGATTCACTAAGGCACACCTGCACCTGTCTTGAATGTCTATACGACCTCCAAGTCCGACGTTCAAACATTCGACTTTATATCGACGTACAAGTGAGGTCATGATTAAACGTCCAGAGTAGACCTTGTTTGCACGTCCTGGAGACGTCCAGAATTGGTCTAGACCGACGGACTCAATATAAACATGATCTGCACATCCATTCGACGTCTAATGTTTAGTGGGTACTTGTATTGCACTTAAATAAACTACTTTTTGCTATGGGCTGTTAGAAGTGTGGTTCTGTTAGCAGCATGGTAGTTAGCAGTGTGGTTCTTTTAGAAGTGTGGTTTTGTTAGCAGTATGGTTTTTCTAAAAGTGCGGTTCAGTTAGCAGTGTATTTCTGTTTGCAGTGAGGTTCTGTTATCAGCAATGTCCTATTGATGATGATAATAATGACCGGAGCAACATGACAACGATTGCCATCCAAAACTGGGTGTAGCAGACACAGAACATCCAAGGTTTCCCCACAGAACCGAATTGTTCCGTAGAGTTGGGTTTGTGCAGACAGATGGTGGATCATGGAGACGGCCGCCATGACAGACCGGAGCCTGAGCCTTAGGCCTTAGGGGTCCAGGAACTGAACCACGATGGCACGATGGCGACGCAGCGACACACAAAACTCCACAAGTGTGTTGCGGTCATACCCGTAGTGTGGGTGTACAGTGCAGGCACAAAAAAGTGACAACAAAAACAACAGGAACAAAAAATGAACGAGTCAAAGCGTAGCTCCCGTCAGCGCTGCCATAATGCGGTGCACGTGATGTCACACAGAATTTGACGGAACAGCTCATGGTGAAGTTACATCGGCTTGATTCAGGCGTAGCAGCCACACAACAATGTGGAAGTCTGAAAATTGTTAGCTTATCAGTGGGACTTCTCGTTTTGTTCACTGGTGACAACACATCTGTTTTCATCACGTTACACCAAAAGATTCTCTTCTTCATCTAGTGTCACCTGCAGCAGAGCGACTGCGTTACATCCTGAGTGAAGATGATGACGTTCCCACACCAACGCTTTTCACAGAGATGGACACTCTGCAGCGGGAAGGTGATGAGCTGGAGTGGAAGGAGTCTGCCAGGTGAGTTTCTTCAGCCCAACCACATGAGCTGCATCTGCTGGGAGGGAGATGATTCTTTGACCATTAAGCCGTCAGTCCTTATAGGAATGCTTGTTGCTGCCATGTTGCATGTATTAAACAAGAAGCTTGTGTTATTTGTTAGAAATTACTCTCAGCTACTACTATAAGGGTTTTTATTATGTTATCATTTTAAACTGTTTCATGATTTCTGCACTTCTGTGCATACGAAGCAAAGAAGATTCGGGAAAAAAGAACTATCAGTCCATGTCCGAGCTGATAGGAATTCTTAGTACTTACACAAGCTGTTTTTTTCTTAGAATTGTTTGTTCTTTTGTAAAATCAGAAATGTCTAGGTTTATACATATCAACTCATATCCCATCAATCTTACACTGTCATTGTTTCTCTTACCTTTAACTGATACAAATGGTATCAGAAACTCATTACAGTAAGCAACAAAGTCCATTCTCAATAATCCAGGTATACAATCATTACAGTAAGCATTTAATCAAAATGTTCTAAGATCACCTTGCCTTCGTTGGGTAATCTGCCTAATCAAGATGTCCAGTTTTTTCTTCCTTCCTGTGTGAACAATAAAAGATGAGCAGATGTGGCAAACCTTTGGAGTTCACAGAAACCAGCCCTAGTGTTGTAACTGTGAATTTCTCCTTTTTGTAAAAAGCTTGGTTGAAAATCTTACTCTGTTGTCCTGTGTGGTTCTTTATTTTTCTAGGTACGAGAAATACCTAACAACTACCACCCTTATTTTAGCCGAATATTTGTAAAATAGACTAAGTTAAATGTTTGTGTCAGAGGATTGATTAGCTGTAATGGCCATCTTGGAATGGGTTGATTTATTCAGCAGTAAATCCATTCCATGAATTATTTTTTGGGAGTTTATTTTAACTGTCCACTTTGCAGACAAACCGGATTGACTGTAATGTGATTGTGCTGCACCACCTTGTTCAGCCACATGTCTGATAACATTCAAGGTTCTCTGTTCTTTATTGTCATTCTCACATGTTCTACATGAGGTGGAACGAAATTGTGTACTCAAGGTCACAGTTACACCCAAAAAATTGGCAAAAATATAAAGTGTAAAAAGAAACAGTGTACAAGGATCTAAGATATACGCTAAACAATAATAATGTAATATAATATGCTGTATTAAACAGCAGCCTGAACATCGTTCAACCTTTACTTATACAGGTTAATCCCATTGAGCCTCGGGGACTCATTTACGAGAGACCTGATTTCTTTAACAAAGAGTCATGACAATAGTGGATAACACCGCCAACAAGTGACAATCATGAAAGAGGCATACAATTTTTTTTTTTACAAATTAAAATAAAATGGCAACCAAAAGGACAGTCAAAAGGAAACAGTAGCAAAAAAAAAAAAAAAAAAAAAAAACAGCTAGTAAGGCGGTGTAGAAAACCAAAAGCAGGAACATGTCTGCAATGGTTCTTCATAACCTTAATTTAACCAGGTTTGTCCCATTGAAATCAATGTCCACCCTAAGGACAAAACACCCATACACACACAGAGTGGTGTAGTGTATGCAGTCCAGTGCAGCGAGGACGGTCCAGACCTCTACATTGGAGAAACTAAACAACCTCTTCACAGACGCATGGCTCACCACAGGAGAGCCAGCTCCACAGGACAAGATTCAGCTGTTCACCTCCACCTCACAGAGAAGGGACACTCTTTTGAGGACCAAAATGTGCACATTTTGGGCCGAGAACACAGATGGTTTGAGAGGGGGGTGAAGGAAGCAATTTATGTAAAAAGAGAAAAGCCGTCTCTTAACAGAGGAGGAGGCCTCAGATTTCCACTTTCAAAAACATATAATGCAACTTTAAAACAGATTCCCAGCCGGTTTTCACACCTGATGGGAACAGAGGGGCCTCATCTGTGAATTAGATGAACAAAGACCTACTGTTAAGGTGTTTAGGTGTGAACTTCCAATCTACATATGTGTGTGTGTGTCTTATCTCACTCAGCCTTATAATCTGAATCTCTCACTCACTGCTCTTTGAATTGAGAAAGCTCCTCGGATGAAGAGCGAAACGTCTTCTGTTACAAATAAAGTCCAGTTGTTTTTGTATTGAACGCTTTTTGAATTCATCATGTCCTGGATGACTGAGAATCTTCACCAGCATATTTAAGAGACTGAGCTGAATACAGCACCTCAGACTGAGGAAGTCTCTTGGATGAGAGACAAAAGTTTTCTACATTTTTTTTTTTTTTTGAATGTCCAGAGGACCAGATTGAACTATTTTGGAAACCCAGTTTAACTTTCAGTTTCTGTACTAGGTTTTCCACATGGAGCTTAAAAGAGAGATGTGAGTTGACCAAGATACCCACATATTTATAGGAATCAACAAACTCAATCGGAACAACATTTGAGGGTGAAATCAGAGGAAGAACTGTTGGGACCAACTTCCTGTTTGAAAAAAAGCATCCCTTTGGTTTTGTCGGTATTTAGGACAAGTTTGAGATGGAACAAATCAGACTGGATGATGTTGAATGCAGATTGCAAAAGCTAGAAAACCTTATCAACTGTTTTAGCTCGACAATAAACAACTGTGTCATCAGCATAGAAATGTATGAATGCATCAGGGATGTTTTGACCTACATTACCTATGTACATTGTAAAGAAGGTGTGTCCTAAGAATGAGCCTTGTGGTACACCTTGTTGACTCTTAAATAACTGGAGGAAGTACCATTATGTTGAACACATTGCCTCCGGTCTGAAAGATAGTTATAGAACCAACCAATGGTGTGTTCTGAGAAACCGATTTCTGAGAGCTTATGGCACACGATGTTCTGATCCACAGTGTCAAAAGCTTTAGACAGGTCTAAGAAAAGTGCAGCACAATAATCCTTAGCATCCAGTGCTTCAACAACGTCATTAAGAACCTTCAGTGAAGCAGTGGTTGTGCTGTGTTGTTTCCTGAAACCAGATTGATGTGGAGGTAAGATGTTAAATGAGTCCTGGTAATTTTTTTTTATTTGAGAGTTTATCAGTTTTTCTAGAACCTTGGCTAAAATGCAGAGTTTAGAGATTGGTTGATAGTTGTTCAGTGATGTGGGGTCACCTCCCTTCAGCAAAGGAAGAACAAACGCTGTTTTCAAGTGTCTGGGATGGAGTTTTGGCTTATGGAAAGATTAAAGATGTGGGTCACAGGTGTAGTGTGACAAGGGCCAGGTTAGCGACCCTTTCACTACTAATTATTTAAATATAACGGGTTCTCTCTTTTTCGAGTTAAATTACTGCCATGTGACGAGATAACTGTGATGACTGTTTAAATCAGTGACATGAGACGTTAATTTCCTTTGACCCATCAGAATAAATGCGGTCATTTATTGAACAGAATCAAAATTTAACATCAAAACATTGTACACTTGATTAGCTGATCTGGTTCTGATTAATAAAACTTGGCACGTTTTACTTAATAAGACAACAGGACATTTCTGAAGGCATCTAGACTACTGGCAAAATAGAAGAGTTTTAAAGGAAGGATTGAAGGAGTTTAAATGGAGAGAAAAGATGGATAAAAAGGGGGTGTCTGTTCGGACCGCAGAATGGCACGCTCCCTTCAATACCAGCTCAAAACCTCCGGTACACTTGACGCGTTAAGACTCTTTACCCTTGCAGAATTTAATCGGCTCCGGTGTCGGGCGCATTTCAACGCTACCTTCCAGCGTCTCCGGTAAGAGCGGCTGGCCATGTCAGGAGTCGTGCCGCTTACTCCGTTCAACAAACACGCTCATCTCCCGGGTGGATACACAGCAAGCTGTAAATCCGGCAGAGTTTCCACTCAGATGTGGGAGAATCCATCACAGACTCAGAAGACTGAGTTCAAGACTAGACTTCATCAGAGACCCACTTGAAGCTCACTAGAACTTGAAAAACCCCAAGACTCCAAGAAGTGTGGACTTTTTAAAGAGTTCTCACTTCCGGTCACTTCAGGACTTCCTGATTGGTTGAAACAACCACCAGGGAGTGGTTCTAGTGATATCAGAGGGTTATTACAAGTCAAGAAAGTGCAAGAATGTTTAGGAACGTCCAGTACAGACAGAAGAAATGTTTTGAAGAAGTGAGAGCAAGCATGTGCCAGTTGCTTCTTATTTACTGTCTGCTAGGTTTAAAAACAATCCACTTCGTTCTAATAACTCCTTTCTGACTTTCGACCAACATCACTACTTCTCATTCAGACTGAAGATCAAAATGCATAATTACTTTGTAAATAGTGTAGTGAACTTGACCTGATGTCAAATCTTGACCTTAGGATCATATGGTCAGAAACTGTCATTTCATTGATTTGCATCCAGAAATACAGGTTGATCGATCCTGAGACTTTCTTTCTTGAATTAATCAAGTGGAAAAGACAATTCTCTATGATCATTACTATTTTACAAATGTTTTGATAATCAAATTGTGTTAGTTCAAACAATGTTTACATGTTGAAGTGAACTACTCATTTTTATTTACTTAAACAGTAGTAATGATTTTTAATCCTCAATTCAAAGTGAAATCAAGTTAGAGTACGTTACAGGGTAATGATTCAATTTCTTGATCGTCTGCTTTGAAGTGAGCAAATTTGTAAGTGTGTCAAAGGTCGAGTTTCGGTCAACTGAAAGTTTACTGAAAAGAAATGTCATGTTTAACTTTTACAGCAAGATACTTGGTGGGAGACTCCACGAAGTCTGGTTTTTCCATGATATCTTTCTGTCTGTTCTTAAACAATCTGAATCTTTTCCTTGACTTTTAATAACACCTTACATCACAAACCACACCTCTGCTTTGGTCCATCGACCAATCAAAAGCTCTCAAATGAACCGGAAGTGGAGCTCTTTAAAATGTGGGCACTTCCTAGTTCAAACAGAGTTTTTGGAGTTCAGAGTTTTTTGGAATTCAGATGCAGAGAGTTTGGGAGTTCCAGAATGCAAACGCAGGCATTCATGGATGCTGCTGTATTAGAATCAAGCTGAGCCA